GTTTCTTGTGTATTTCAAAGGAAACTTTTGAAAAACAATATTGGACTTGTATTTATCCATGCATATCTGACTATACTTATCACATTTGTATTGTATCTAAATTCCTAAAAGGATTAATATAAACATGGAGATGTGTGTTATAAGTTGACATTTCAATAGAAAATAATTCTGTTCATACCAGGTGGTTGTTTTTGGCTTGTTTCTCTCTTAGCTGACGTTCAAATCTTTGTTCAACAAATAAAACATTGCAAACATATTCCACAAAATATTCAATTCTTGAGTAGATACTAAGAAAAATAATTTTAGAAAAATTAGTTTGAAGATGAATTGATTCTTTTATATTTTCTTTAAAAATTACATTTTCTCTTGGTAATTTAAATTTTGCTGAGATTGCTTTGTTTTTCCAAGGTAACGCTTTCTCCATTGTTCTTACCATTCAGTCCTCATTACATTGTTGAGGTTCACGAATGTACATGATTTCATGCATTTTACTGTGTCCTTATCTATGACTTTTACTTACTTATGAGTTTTACTTATAGTTAATGCTATTTTTTGAGTCATACTTATTTTTGTTTACCTATTATTTAAGTTAATACATTGTTTCTTGAAATCTTAAGATTTTTCTTTTAATGTCCTTTTTAATTTCACTATGCTCAGAATAATTATATATTGTGCAGAAAAGGCAATCTCTCTCTTATCTTTGAATACAATTAAAGAATTTCAGCACTTTTTAATAAAAAGGATCACATATTTTAATAAATAATAATTTTATATTATTCAATATCAACTCTGTAAATATAATCTTTATGAAACAAATCACCTTGGAAAAGATTCTTTGTTAAATGCAAAACTGGAAAATTATGATAATTTCAAAATGCATGTGTTTAAATTGGTAAATTCATACATCTAAGTCACTTGTTTTGATTTCATTTAGTTATTGACATTTACAAATTAACAGTTGGAATAAAATTGGTAAAAACCTCTTCAAAATTCAAGTGAGGGCATTGTTTTGTAAAATGTCCAATTACTAAGTAACAATTTTTTTTTAAAATCACTAAAAAAAGGTAATATTGAAATTATTAAACTTCTGCAAATTACAACATTGTTTTGGGGACAGTTCTCCCTGAGTTCAGGTTCCTGAAATGCAATAAAAGTATAATGAAATGACAGAAGGCTGAAAATATAATTACTTTTAATTCCCAATGCACATGCAACATTGATCACTTTGACTAATGAGTTTTTCTATTCTAAATGTCATTTCTATAAAAAACTTAATTGGACATTTTACAAATAAACTCCCTTCATTTTGGTAAAGTTTTCATTACAAATTCATTCCAACTGTAAATTTGTGAGTGTATGACTGTCAATAACTTAATGGTATTGTGAAGAAGTGATGCAAATTGATTTGACAGTCAAAAACAAACTCCTTAATAAATTCATACATATTCTTGTGATAGATTTTGAGTTTGTAACAATTAAGCAATTCTTGTGAGCAAAATTCCTTTAAATCTTTTGTCACAAATCCCTTTGAAAATTTGGAGGAACTTTTGAAGTATTCAAAAGAAACTTCAATATTTTGTGAAATTGAGATAGAGAAATTAAATTGCCTGTGTTTGAGGCAACATATTTATTTAGTGATTTAATTATTTTAGAGTTTTCACAAAAGTATGGTTACAATTGACAACTTAAATTTCTTTGCTTCTTAGTTGTGAGAAATCTATGCTGATTGGACCCTTACTGATGTATTTTGTAAAAACGTTTCAAAGTAATAACCATGAAAAGTAGCATGGCTAAGTTCCTGATATTTGTAGAACCTCTTCACTAGATTTTGTACTTTGATATAAGGAGGCCTATGCAATAATTGGCTGTATGATCTGTAGAATTGTCTGAACATGGGTATACGATACAATTATCCTAGTGTATGTGAGAAGTAAAGCCCAATTAGTCTTTCTGTAATCATTGAAGTAAATGAGGTTAGGATACACTAAGTAAAGTACACATCAAAATGTATTGTAACAAATTACAATGCTCCCATCTCTTCTTTCTGAGCTGAAAGATGTAGTAGAAAATCCTTGGGTAGTTATTTCATTAGAGGAGTGTACAGAGTACCCTCTGTAATAAAGTACCAAGTTAGCAATTGTTAAATATAATGAATTTTATAAAAGACGTTCTGAGTGATAGAAATAGAAAAGATGAGACAAGGAAGTGTAGACAAATAGATTTAAAGACCACATATAATGAATAACAAATTTGAATTCTGGAGTCCATAAAATTTAATATGTACAATTCTTATGTACTTTCCATTCTTTTATTGCTTAGAACAATAGAAATATTTACATTTATTACAGAAATGATTTGATAATGTATATTTATATACTTCAACATTTAATTGTGTTGAGTTTATTTTCCTCATACTCATACCCCTTATTTTGTAGTAGACATTTATTATAGATAAAAATCAGTCTGAGCCAACTATTGAGCTTCTTTGTGCTTAGTACAAATACAAAAAATGAATTGAGTTAAAGAGTAGCATGCAATTCATTACTGAAAGCCATTGTTAGAAAAAAGTTCAGTGGTGGAAAGCTTAACATTTCGTCAAGGTTTGTTGACAAGAAAGCCCAATATATTGAAAGAAATCAACCCATTTCTCTTCATTGATATTTCTATCACAAATGTTAATTTAATTTAACATCATATTAAAATGTATATCTACTATTCAATACATGATTAAAAATAGGTTATGTAATGTATTATAACATATCATGTGAAGTTGCTTCTATAGAAGGTAGCTTTTCTGTGAACAGATGCCCAATTAAAATATCTTTGTAATATGCTATACTGAATTTTTACAATTTGATCAAATTAATTTTGTGTAGTCAAGCTCTAATTTATCAGCTGTAAATCCAGAATATCAGCAAGGGAAACATATGTTCTTTCAAAATATTAAGAATAATAAAATTATTCAATTATGTCTCAAATGTAATAGAAATCAATTTAAATGAAGCAGTATTCAAGTTTATAATTTCATCATGAATAAAAAGTTTTGAATTATTGAAATACACACATTATTGTTTGTTATTCAAAGGTGTACTTGGAGCGAGGGCAAGCTCCTGAATTTTATTTTGTTTTCTGTTGATTCTCAATACATATGTGTAAATATTTGTAATATTATTAGAAGGCATATAAGAAACGGTTTTCTCATGTGCTTGTACGTTTGTGTCCATTACAAATTGGTGAACAGTAATGTTTAATATATTCTAAGAGGTGATGAAACTACTGGTGTGTTTTTAGACTGTGTAAGTTTGTTTTGGAATTGTTTCATATGATAATAAGTGCTTCATCTAGCAGAAATAATTTTTTTATTCAATGTGTTGTAGAGAACAATTTCTCATTTAAATCCTCTAGAAATATGGTTTTGAATTGCCAGTATGCTTCATCATCGTATCAGTTCCTGGCCAATAAAGCCTTCATTTTGTCAACTAGTGACTGATTAGGCATGACTGATATGTGTGTGTTAAATTCCTTAAAAACTAATATCTCAACTCAACCTGTACACCCCCTTTTAGTTGCATTGACATTTTCTTGATATTCAACTAATAGGATTCACCTTGAAATTTTGAATACCAATAATATTTTCAAAAAGCAGTAATGAGTAGAAATTACAACCGCCTGTGTTCTAGTAGTAATTATCAAGTTAATAGTTCTTTTGATTTTCATGTCTCATATTTTTAGAATGTTATGAGAGTGTAATTAAATGGGACTAATGCAGGACTCACTATTAATACTTGATGATAGTGCCCTTTCGAACATAGTGGCAGAAAGAGTTATTGTTAAAAATCATAAGACAAGCGAATTTCAGTTATTCAATTTTTCCTTAAACAAAATATCAGTGCTATATATCAAGAACATTGATCATCATCTCTGTAATTCTAGTTACTAAAAAGGGTTGGACAGTATAATGAGATACTAGTGTAATTGTAAATGTGTGAGATGTTGCACACACTTGCCCAGTAAGTGTATCATGAAAATATTCCGTTTGGAATAACTAAGTATTATCATTACTTCATAGTCTAGAAACATGTATTGTCTCAATACCAAATATGCAAATAAATATGTTACAAAATAAATATTAATAAACTGGAAATGTGTATTATTTGTGAATTACGGCTGCACTCTTTATTATAATATATAATTGCATATTAAATTGACATTTCGTATGGTGTAGAATCATGTTTATATTGTTAATTAAATCTGTTATTTCCTTAGGGTGTGCATTGTCAGTTTCTTAGGAATGCAAATATGAACCACTTATTGATAGTACGTTAATTCAAAAGTATATTGTATTTTTACATTTTGTTTTCCTTAAAAAAAATGAAAATATAAATTGAATTTATTTGCATTGTCAGTTAAAAACACTGCTGTATTATTAGTTTGTTTCATGATAAACTATCCTTTTCATTAAATAAAATGTTAATAAAAATCTTCTCTCAAGAAGAAAAGGGACGGAACTCAATTCTTGCGAAAATATCAAATATAAAGATAGTAAAAATAAAGAGTAGGCTCTGAACCTGATATTCATTGTCAGTAATGACTATAATTGTGAAAGAATATTTGAGTGAATTCATTTTAAAATTGTCCTTGTGGTTATGCTAAAAAGGGTCATTTTGTTGTTTTAATTTAGATTTGTGATAAGGTTGATAAGGAATTGGCTACAGTGTATTTGAAAATGTTATTGAAAGAAAATCATTCTTGGTTTTTAATTAGCTAAGAAATGTATGATTTCGTTTTTGTTTTTTATTTTTTTTTTATTATTATTATTATTTTTTTTTTTTTACTGTTCATTCATTAAAAGAAGCAAATGGATCAGTTATGGAATCGAAAACAGTTTTTATTTAATTCAAATACACTTTTATACTAACTAGTATAAATATGATTAACAATTCTTTTTCAGGCACAAATTATTTTGTGTGTGTATTCAACACTAATTTTGTCCTTTTCAGTACAGAAGATTTATATTTCTTGTTATGTCTGCTTGTAACATTACTACACTTCAAGTTTGGGATACAACCTACAGTGCAGATTCAGTGGAATGGTGCCCAGTGGAACCATACCTTAATGTTTTTGTATGTGGAACGTACCATTTGGTACAAAATGATAGTGAGACTTATGATTGCTCAGATGAAAATGGAGAGATAGATAAAACGAAAACCAAATGTCAACAAGAAAAGTTAGGGTCTTTGCACCTCATGGTTGTTGATAGATGTCTTGTAACCCACAAAGTGCAAACATTGGAAGTCGATGCAGTTTTGGACACAAAATGGTGTCCAAAAAGAGTAGAAAACAAAACTTTATTAGCTGCTGCTACTGCAAAAGGAGAAATATTAGTTTTTGAACTTTCTGAGAGCCCTGACTTACCAGAAGAAACACAGTTTCATCATTTTCTTACGTTACTCACGAAAGTGAAAGTGTTTCCAGATGACATGGTCTTAGCCCTATCTCTTGACTGGAATGTGAGAAAGAAAGAACATAATGGAGATGAATCACTCCAAGTTGTTGTTAGTGATTCACATGGAGGAATCAGTTTACTGAAGTTTACAAATTCCACTCTGATCGTAATAGATTGTTGTGTGCTCCACGATTATGAAGCCTGGATAGCAGCTTTTGATTATTGGAATCCATCTGTATCATACAGTGGTATGTCATTTTCTTGGTGTTATTTGTTTCACAATATTTTTGGTTTTAGAACTATTTTTTCAAGCAAACATTAAATATAACTATCTTGTTATGCTTAAATAAAGTTTGTATTGTTGTTTATCCTGCTTCACAATTAAATATTTGATTTTCAGGTGGTGATGATAACAAGTTTTTAGTTTTGGATTCAAGAGTAGGTATTCGCAATCCTGTATTGGTTAATAAATCTCATGAAATGGGAGTTACTAGTATTTGTTGCAATGATTCTAAAGAGCACTTGCTTGTTTCCGGCAGGTATTGTATGCAAGCATTAGCTCAAAGATCTCGATTTATACCTTAAGTATTATGAAATTAATATATATATTTTCATATCCTATTTATTCATTTAGCTATGATGAACAGCTCAGATTTTGGGACACGAGGAACCTAAGAAAACCAATTTCATCCACCACTCTTATAGGAGGAATTTGGCGTCTGAAATGGGATCCACAAAACTTTGATCATCTTCTTGCGGCGTGCATGTACGGAGGATTTTGTGTTATTAATTCAGAAGATGTAATAAATCCTAAAGTAGTAACTGTCTATAAAGAGCACAAAAGTATTGCTTATGGATGTGATTGGTGTTTTTGGACAGATGCAGAAATAAGGTCCATAGTATCAGATAAAAATCTTAAAGAATCTACTAAAATATTATCTCTTATTGCTACATGTTCATTCTATGATCACAAATTGTGTGTGTCTATTTTTGATAGAAATTGCTGAGATGTCAGTAATAAATGCCTTTTTTGATACAACTTTTTTATTTTATTCTTTAGTGGTTAAAATAGGAGTGCAAAATAATCCTAACATTGAGTGATTGAATCTGACCCTAACTTATAACAGCAATAATAGAATATGTAAATATGTCTAAAGGTTTACTTCAAATTTGAGAGGTACAAATATTTTGTGTAAATGTAAACCAGTATAATTCAAGAAACTGTAAGTCAACAAAATTAGAGAGTAAATTGTGGAATTGTGTCAATTCAAAGTAGTGAGCATTGTTGTGGTTTGGTATGACTTTGATTTTAAAAATTTTCTGCTTTATTACCTTTAATGGAGAGAGCAGTTAAAATATTATTATTATACTCTTTTTGTTCCTTTTGTATTATACTCCTTTTTGTATCTGAGTAATATGTTTTAAAGAGATGTGTTTGTTGAAATTTAAAATAATATTCCTCTGTCTTTGTTGATAACTTAAATATGGATCAAGAAAGTTCTATAGAAACATTTTTTCAAACATGTTTGGCCATCCAAACTGAATTTCTACATAAATTATGGAAAGAGCACCCAAGCTTTTGTTGATTGTTTACATCTCTGCAAGAAAAATGTTCAAGGATAATGAGAGATGACATTTTATCATACATGGGTTATTGAATCCAGTGCACAATGATGCATGGTAGAAGAATACATTCATAACGCTAAGATTTTAGAAAATAAAATTGAAAATAAAAAGCATATTGAATAAGAAGTGAATTTGTAAAATTCTTTTGGACTTGAAAAAAAATATGAAAAATTGAAAAAGAAGGAGCTTGAGAAATTGGGCAATTTGGATTACATCTTGAAGTTCTGGTGATCAAGCCGAGTGTGACCAATAGATAACAGTTAATAATTGTATGTGACTGAAGAGAGATTCACAAATGCATGACAATTGGAAAGAGAATATTTTGGCAGTATTTTCGTAGCTTGACTTGAAAATTTTTGAAATTATGATTTGCCACAAAATTAGCAAGTTTGATTATCAAGAAAATGCAACAAATATGTCATTTATTGGAAAGAAAGAACTTTAAGAATGTCAGGATCATTATTTGACGGGAAAAGAAGGAATTGAAATGAATTTATGAAAAATGGCAGACAAATTTTATTTAGTTAAACTTTTGAATGAATATAATCAGTATAATTTTGGATATTCTGAAAAAGAAGAGAGTCAATCAGTTAAAATTTATATGTAATGGTGTATGCGGTTCTAAGAGATATCAGGAAATAAAATTCAGTGGTTTGTGAAGGAAAATTTCTATATGAATTATAATTTCATTTTACGATGGGTAATACAAAAAGTAAGTGGAAAGTTTTGTGATTGCATTTGGTTTTGAAAGATTTGCAATCATTCCTTTATTGTAAAGGGCAGCAAAAGAAATTTCTTAATATTTGAACCATTCATTCAGCTCGTAAAGGTGTGATGGGACCCCTCAGTATTATAAAAAATATGAGAAGAATTTATGGCCACTGAGGATCCAAAGAATAGAATATTTCTACTTCTTTTCAAGATGCATTTGGAAAATGTTTTTAGAAACTTAAGTTTATTAGATGCATAAATGGTAGTAATAACTTGAGACTCGACTTTACAAAATGCCTTTTTATTATTAAGATTTTAAGCCTTTCAACAATCATAATCACTTAACTGTACTTCTGGAACTGTTTTAGAAGATGTTTATTTTGTCTATTCTTAATTTTTTACTGTTCTTTTCTGTCATTTTGTTGTTTTTTCTCGTGGCACAAACTTGATCGAACTGGAGACATGCCCAGACACTTACAAACAAGCCTTGTCAACATGAAGGGAATGTCACATTTTGTGTAACTGTGCAAGTGGATGCCCCAAAGCTAGGAAGTATTAAAAATCTAAATGAGAAAGGAAGATGATGCCATTTCAAATTTTTGAATTTCTTTCATTGATGCTGATAGTCTTTGTTTGCCTACAATGGTAGGAATTCCATCATACCTCTGGGAGTGGCCTGTGATCACATGTCAGAGGTCAGAGCTCTGTCTCCATGATAGAGGATGCCTCTCTTGGTGCTGATGTTACACAAGTGCGAAGAACAAGAACTATTTTCACTTTTCAATTGATGCCATTCCAAGATTCAAAAGAGAGTCCACAATAGAATTTTGTAGAGACCTCTTTGCGAGTGAATCAAATTCATAGTCATAGTACTGAAATTTAGTGTGACACAGAATAATATAAAGTTTAAGTGTCTTTTATGTTCACTCATGTATGAATCATTCATTATAACCAAAATTTTAATTAAAATGATAAAATTAGTCAGATCTTATAGGAGAAAGTGGACTTGAGATAAAAAGGAAACTTAATACTGGAGAGTATGATAAATTGTGAAGAGTTCAAACTTTGGATATAGTTTCCGAAATTTATCTTTAACTTGATGTGGATAAGTGGATCTAGCAAGAGCAGCAAAAAATGAATTTGGTTTAAGAGATTTTTCAAAGAAATGAAGGAGTACTTGCAGAAGTATTGTGTGCATTCAAACGTTGGAAGGAGAAAAGTTGATTTTGGTACATCAAAAAGCCATGGAAAAATTCATATAAGAGAAAGGAGGCAATGATCTTTATAAAATACAGAATAATGCTTAGATTAGCTGAGAAAATTACTTAATATTAGTTTTATTTAAGAAGTATATGTAGGAAATCTTGTAAAACTATGCACTTGAGAAATATTTTAGTTGGAAATACAGAAATGGAACAAAGCAACAGTGTCTATTAATTAGTAACAGTATGTAATTTTTCGTCGTTTTATAGGAATGAGAAAACAGAATATTTACTTAAGATAAGGATTTTTCCTAAATATTTTATTCAAAACTAGTGGTGCTACAATAGAGCACACTTTTTGTGTATATTTAAAACTTCACACTAAATTTTCACAAATTCTAAAATTGAGATCTGCACCATTTTGTAAGCGTCCTTTACTATATTGGTAGAAAAAATTTTGAGAAAATTTTTGTGTCAAAATATTGCTTTAGCTTCAATTATTAATGACTGAACTGAAATTATGCAAAAACCACTCCCCTCCCCCTCCAAAATAAATGTTCCCTTTTAAAAGAACTGATTTTTTTAGAATATTTTATTCAATACAAAAATCTGTATCTTCAATATTGCAATTTTCAAAAATGCAGAGTTTGATGGAAATGGGACCAGCACCAATTTTTTTTACCATTATCTTCAATATTTACTTGTAGGAACACTGCAAAAACATGTTGAACTTTTGCTGTTTTCAAAAAATATGGGATTTCCATGAAAATGAGACCTGTGCCATTCTTTGAAGCATTCTTTACACTATCCAAGGACAAAGTTTAAAAAACAAAATTTGGAGACATTTTTGAAAATGTTGAGGCTTTACATGAAGTACTCTGAAATCAAAACACCAGTTTCAAACTCGCAGAGACACGAGTTCCATCAGGTCAATTAGAGAACATCAAGTTTTGAGAAAATGGCATGTCTAGTTTAGGTGCCCGCATTTACCACAAACAGAAAGAAGCAGGCAGACTCGGACAAAGTTACAGAGACAGATACAGTCTCATCTTAGTGAATAAGCTACAGAGATTAATTTTTGTCAAAGTTGCACTGAAATAGCATCAAGAGGACCTTGGAAAAAGAACTTCGAAGTTCAAATTAAAGAAAAAATTAAGAATATTTTGTTTCCTGAACCTGCTTCCATATTTTATCATGTGAAATCTTTGTAAAACTACCGAATATATACCGAATCAGAAAAATATTGTTGAATAACAAACAAAGAATGTGAACGAATAATAGTAATATCAAAACTATCTTTTATGTATAATAGTATTTATGCCATGTTACATATATTGCCGGTTATTAAGTAGTAATCAGCTTGAAGTGATTCAATTAAACTTAGTGCTGAAAGTAATGAATTTAAGATATATAATGATTTAATGAATGCAAGTATCCAATACCTGTGAATGCTTTTGAAGCACTGCATGAGATCATTGTGAACAGAGTTTTCTTCAGAATAAAAAGCAATTTTATATTCTGGGAAATTTAAAATAGAAATAAATGGCAAGAACATCATTTTCAATTTGCTTTTAGAACTAAAATTGAGCAGGTTATGAAGCAATATTGAAAACAGAAAAAATATATAGAATTTGTAGTTTTATTTTGTGAAATTTTCTAAATTTTGATAGATAACTTGAAATTAAGGTGAATTTATGATATTCTGGTTTGAATTTTGCACAATCATGAACTGAAAGTTTAAAACTAGGGAAAATTAAGAAAATGGTGTTCCATTTCTTTTCTATTATTTGAATTTTTTTAAATGTAATAAAAGTGATTTTCATAGTTCTTGAAAAAGACACTCAAATAGATTTTCTTTTGTGATTTTGGTGTTTTCAACATGGATACAATTAATACAGTTGTGTCAAGAAGATTGACGCTAGTTGAGAAGTTGGAAGATTTTCATTGAAAAACTTTAAGGGAAGAAATGAAGGATGGGGACAGCTGAAAAATGATTGCAATAAGTGAGGTCTATGCAACAACATACATGCATTTGTTGGTTTTGGAAACTAATGTGAAAAAGTAAAGTACTGTACTGCCTCTCTATTTAATTCTTATTTTTATTTTTGTGATGGCAGTAAGGATAACAACTTCATATTTCATGAATCACAAATGAACCTGGAGGGTCCAAAATAGAGGATTTAGAGATATGTGTTCCAGTATTTAGGGATGACAAAGAGGGCTTCCAAGAAGAAATATATAGAATGAGCCAAAGAGGGGGCCGAATGAGCCGGTCAGCAATGAGAAAACTTCAGTATTCTATAAATTAAGAAAGTAAATAAAAAGGGGAAAAAATAGAAATTCTGTAGAAAATAATACAAAGCATTCTGTTAAATGTGACGCAACTGACTGAGATGACAAGGTCAAGATAAAAAAATCAAGGAAAGGAACAATTGAGATAATTTTTTAGAAAGATACAGCAGATTGACTAGGTTAGATAGAGTTAAGAATAATGATATCAGAGGAGAGCTAGTATCATTGTTAATGTCATTGAACAGTAAAAATTAAGAGAGTGAGTTGATATGAACATATACAACAAATGTGTAACAGTAGCTGGTTGGCAATTGGCCACAGACCTTTAGAAGAAACAAAGGAAATCAAAAAAATACACAGCTACAAAAAATTAGGTGATTGAAACAAAGGTTTGGAGCAGCACAGGATGATGGGATAAGGGAAGAGGTAGTTACAGCCCTTTCAGAGTTATCAGTCAGTTTGATGTTGGATAAGATTTGTGTGGAAAATGTGTTTTTTTCTCTCCAGAGTCATGACAAATCACACTTTGGAAAATTTATAAGGGCTAAGAAAATACGATGGCTAGTTCACTTATTTTAAAATATCAAGAACTAAAAGAATGTTTCAAATTATCATGAGTTATTCTGCAAATGAATGATTTAATGAGTGAATCTCATCTTTATTTATCACCTATTAAATTTTTAAAAGAAACATGATAAATTTTGCAGGTGGATCAGAATTAAAATATGATGTAAGAAGAATCACCTTACATATAACTGTGTTTTTATAAGCCAATGTGCATTATTGCACAAAATGTGGAAGTCATTGCTTTAGATATAGTAGCAGTTTTTGATCTTCCAATAAAGCTGGAATAATGTAAAAACTTATGAATTTGAAGACCACCGCAATTTATACTTATCTGTGTTAATACCAAAAATTATCTTGATTCATTGGTTGCCTGAGAGATTTGTAATATACATTCCCAGCTGCCCACTTGTCCTTGGCACCTTGTGACACTGCCTGCATTTGAATGTCTGAATGTCATTTTTTTGACATTCCATTAAAGCATTATTGTTCTCTAAGCTTTTCAAGTTTTGATTAGCTTCTGCATTTTCTAACCAAGATCCAAGATGCATGCATGGAGTGCATATAGCATTCTAGCATGTCTCTCCGTCTGTTTCCCATCTCAGAGCATGACTAGCAGCGCTTTTTTGTTATGCTCTAGCATTTTTCATTGCCTTTCAATGCAAACTAATACTACTTGGTGGCACTCAGTTGTATGTGGCGAAAGTTTTTAAATATACTCCAAATCTTTTGCAAGCCGTTTTACCTTCTGATATAACACTACCCCCATGATTTATGAAATTCCTGTGTGTAAAAATGTATGTGTTTTGCATTTTCAAATGTACACATTATTTACAAACTAATTAAACTAATTTATTTAAAGTTGACTAGAGGTGAAAAAAATGTTAAAATTTAGATTCATCTTGTGAAAATTAAACTCGGTGAATTTTTTTTTTGTTGTTGTTGTTGTTGCTAATTTCAAGTATTTCTAATGGTTTTGGAACAAATTTTTGCTCAAACAGCAAGGTAATCTAAGAGAAACAATTGTTTAATGTCACCAGATCCTTTTTTAATTACCGGTACTAAGGTAGTAGTGCGTGAATACATGAAAATGCAAACGTTTTGAGTAATTATTTATTTATTTATTATCATTGATATTATGATTAGGATTTTCTCCCTTTTATAGTAGTATTATAAACATAAATTAAAGAAAAAATAATGATGCAGAGATCAAATTACAATTACAAATTAGAATATAAAAACATGCATTGAAAACTATAAAAAAAATTTGTAAATAAGGTCATAAACATATCGGTCCTATTCCATGTGGCACAACAACATGGTTTTAAAATAAGTAAATGAGACATTGAAGAAAGTACCGCTTTGGCGTACTCAATTGACAACTTCAGCAGTCTGATGAAAGTAACGCGTGCCAAATACTCCATCCATGGCAACTGAACACTTCGCGAGTTCTCAAGGATCTTGAAACTTGTTAAGATGTATCTTTTGAAGAATCTGGGGGCAGTCCTTATATAATTTTAAAAAAGGGTATAAAAGCCTGTGCTCGAGTTTTTTGGATCGA